TATATATATGTTTTTCTCGCTTTATACAAAAACAGAAACACAATATGTACACTTCTGTTGTATAAAGCTAGAGAAAATTGTATTTCACCGCAATTGTATAATTCGCAATTGTATAATTCGTTGGTCTTTTTCTCTGCAATATTTGAAGTAAAATGTTTGTAAATTGTATAATTAAGTGTATAACACGAAGATATACATTTTTGCATGTGCATATATAATTTTCTCTCGCTTTATACAAAACATAAACAGAATTATACACTTCTGTGTATAAAGCGAAAGAGGCGAGGGAGAATGGAGAGTGGCGAGCGAGATTTTTGGGAGAGAGACGCTGACAAATTTTAGTTAATGTTTGCTATGGAGCACAATTAAATCAAACCCTAGCTATTCCATTTAATTTAGGTTATTAGTTTGCTATTATATACAATTTTTCATATATATATATATATAATATATATATATATATATATATGGATTCTTTTGTTTTATTCTAAGATTATTTTTAAATTGTTTCTTGAGCATTGATATTTAATGATGATTAGAGTGGAATTCGTTAGCAATAAATAAGCAAAAATTTGTACCCATGTAGATAGGCATATATCAATAGGTACAAATTTGTATATGATAATAATTTTACATTGTATAAATATTTGTTCTTCTTTCTTTCTGCATGTTAAATGGACTTTTAAAATGTCTCTTAAATAAAAAAAAATGTGATTTCTCATGATCATGCCATAAAAGTTTATTTGATATTTGCCATTAGGTGAGATTAGAGCCGTCAATATGAGCTACACCTGTTAGGTCGGTCTGGCTTAACCCGAGATTTAATAGGGATGGATTATGATTTTTGGAGCCCATTTGATAAACGGACTTTTTAGTCCGGCCTGAATAAGTCTGCTGATTTGTGGTGCTTGAGAAATATCGGTAGAACTGGCCCGTGGACCAATAAAAATTAATTAAAAATATAATATAATATTAAAATTTAAAATTAAAGAGAGTCTAAACTCAAAATAATTAGATTAATATTTTTATTTAGATATTTATATTTTTACTTGAAAGAAAAATTAATAAGTATTATAAAAATAAATGTAATTGTGAATTTGATTAAAAAGTAGTAACATTAACACCATTTAATATTGTTTTGTCGATATTTATGATAATATTTTAAAATTATAATTTATAATGTAATTTAATAGTTCTAAAAATAATATAATTTTTTTAAAAAAATGGGTTGATCCGGCAAGTCTGTAACCCACGATTGTGGATTGGGTCGGCCATTTTCTGGCCCACACCAAAAATAAGCTAGCTCGGCCTGATCCGTAAAATATCAAAGCCTGTATGGATTAGCCCAAATGGGGTGGACTAGCCCATATTGAAAACTATAGTTGAGATGCTCGAAAAATAAGAAAATAGCATTTTCTCGTATTTTTTTGCTTTTGTAATTGAAAAATAGCACTATTCTAGTGACGTATTTGATATAAAAGAAATTTAAAAAAAAAGTTATTTACTCTTTTCTTTTTTATAAATAAGCAAAAAAAATATTATCGTAAAACCAGATGTATGTATGATCTTTTAAATTTTAGACATAAATAGAGAGAGAATATAAAGAATTTTTTTCCTGCAAAATTTCACCCTTAATAGCGCGCAAATTTTATTTTCTCAACAATAGTTATGTTTTGGTGATTTTGTTTCTTTTATTCTAATTTTTGATGTTATCTTATATATATGGGTATTCGATGTATTACACTTTTGAAGAACGTTTTATAACTTTTGTTGATATATTATAGAAGAGTTTTAATCTCGTAAATTTTTTCTCTTTCATACTAAAAAGACTTTCCACACAAATATAGTGTTGATTGAATAAATTATTTTTATCTTGTTATATTTATTTTAGTTGATACACTTGTCATAAAAGTGAATTTTTCTTCTTCGTCTTCTTCTTCTTCTAATAATAATAATAATAATAATAATAATAATAATAATAATAATAATAATACATAGATACACTTGATACATTAATGCATATTTGATGTTGTTTTATTTGATGAACGTATTAATGCATGCGTATTTGAGATCAAACCGTGCATGTTTCTATGTTGTTAAATTGATATTAGATACAATAGATGAAATTGATATTTTTCACGAGATCATGATAATTGTGAAATTGAGATTAGATAATGAAATTGATATTGGATACAAACACACTTATAGTCGTAAAATTAATATAGTATTCACGAATACAGTCATAAAAATTGATATAAGCTTATGTATATATAATCATGTACATATTTTTTAAATTAATATTGGATACATTAGATACACTTTATAGAATTTGATACGAGCTCATGCATATAAAGTCAGATGCATGTGCTTTCATGTTCTACTGGGACAGAAATACATAAAGAGAATTGTGAAATATAAATATAAATTAAGGACGGCTTAATATACTTTGGGGTCTTAAGCGAAATATTAGTGTGTAATTTTGTTTTTTCAATTATTGATTTTAGGTATAATTTTATCAGTTTAACATTGGAAAACATTTTTTCAGT